TCACCAAATTCAACACTCACACTTTAAAAAGTTTTTGGTCACCCTTCTGCCCTGACCTGGCCCCTGCTCGGGGACAGTCACACCTCCAGGGCTGTCAATCCTGAACCATCCACAGCACTGAAGAAAAAGGTCACTTAAAAAAATTAGATCTAAATCAGAATTAATTATGCAATAGGCCAAGTGGCACCAAAGTAAATCCATCATATAAACAAGCAGAGAGGATTTTCACTGCTTCCAGAAAGAGCTTGGCCTCCTGGAGGAYGGCAATTTCTGCACGAGTGACCACAAAATAAAGCTCTTAGGTAATATGGTGATAGGTACTCAAAAATATGATGGATGGAGGAACAAGATTAGCTCGACTTTATGTACAAGTCCATTACATTCTTGATCACATACTTTAATGGCAAAGCAGCTGCACAACTTGCAAATTACAAGCTCTGGCTTTGTTTTCAGAGCTGCTGCATCAGTAGTTGTATTTAACAACTCCAGGCAGGCGCTTCTTTCTGTAAATTGTCCTAAGAACGTGCTGGGAGACTGCAGCAAGGAATTTTTCCCAAAAATTCAGCACCATCTAAATAGGAGAAGCTGAGTTTCCCTCCATTTCCCTGTTTGTTTTATTCCTTGTAGCAATTTTTGTGCTGGGGTTGGAGATCTCTGTGCCCAGGTCTGTTGGATGAGGTCCTCAGTCACTCATCTGCTTTTTGTCTGGAAGAGGAAAGAATTCTCCTCAGATCCAATCTGTTTCAGCTATTACCTTTCCTGCCTTTGTTACACTTTTTTTTTCCTGCACATTAGATAAAGCCTGGYTGGCTGCTGCCAGGAAAATTAGATMTTCTATTGTTTTACCATTAATTATGGAGAGTTCAAGATAAGGTTTATGTTCAAAAAGCAGAGAGCAGGAACGTTTTGAATTTTCCTTTCATTGCAATTAGACATGAAATTATGAAAAGGTGAAAAAGAATTCATTGGAGAGTTTTCCTCTAGCAAGAGAACGAGGAAGGCACATTCTGGAGTTGTGGGGTGTTATTGAGCACCCAGAGTGTGACCCTGCAGGGTGTGGGCACAAAAGGGCAGCGTGAGCCTCTCTGATTCACTTCTCTTATACTGAGAGCCCTTTCTCATACCAAAACTAAAAAAAAAAAAGGCTGAATTAGCCCGTGGTGTAACCCAATGGAAGGTGTTTGAGTGACTGCAGAGATGAGCTGGAACAATCAGTTCCTTTCTGAGTAACCTGCACAGGACATGGAAATATGAGGAATCAGAGGATGAATTAATGGGGCAGCTGTCTCACTTTCTCATGAGCTCTACTGAGATAAACATTTGGGCCAAGATGCTCTCCTCATTAGAATTCCTTCACTTGATGCTGATGGTGATGTTTACCAGGCAACCACTGAGTTTTCCCAATTTTCCTTCATGTGGAATCACTGCAGTTCAGGATTTTAGAGGCACTTTCACAAAGGAGGGCCTGAACCCTTCCTGGAGCTTCTCCCTAAAGACCGACCATGCCAAAGCCCCTCAGGTTACATTTCCTTCTGTAATCAACCCCTGCCAAGTTTCCACCATTCCAAGGTCCACAACCTGAATTTATTTCGGTTTTATTCGAAGTTTGCAGGAAAAGCAGGACCCTGACAGAAAAGTCCAGCCATGAGTCCATGGTTGAAGACCACTGAAGTTATAAGGTTCTAGTGAARATAAGGATTTTGTCCATTCAGAGTCAACAGAAACTTTAGAAAATACATAATGCAGGTGGAGGAGGGGGAAAGGATGTATTTCTCTGCCTTGTTAGAAGATAAGGAAGCCAGATTCCAAGGGGAATGAGTGATTTACCCACAGTCACAGGAAATCAGCAAGAGATATGGAAATTAATGCTGAGAAGCATTTCAGTGCCTTAATCATAAAGCCAATCTTTTCCCTCAAATGCCAACAGCATTAAATGTTCCTTTTAAATAATGGAATAAGCATAAGACTTTCATTGGCTTGCAGTAATGTTTCCATCAAGATATTTTAGAGGGCAGCCAGTTCCAGAAGAAGGGTTGGGCAGGATTAGGACCTATGGTCAATTGTAGGAACCAGGATTTGGGATGAACTAAAGTTTAGCTGTCAGATTCCTTTGGGGATCACATCATGCCAAGGTCGAAAAATGCRAGGTCAAAAAAAACCAAAGTGTGTTTTATTATATTTACCGCTAATTAGGCAGGCTTTGGGAAAAAAAAGAAGGGGATGAAATAATCTCTGGTTGGGAAGCAATTAAAGTGTTAGGCTGAGGGGATGGATGGCTTAGAWTSGGGAAGATTCACATCTCTGGCATGCAGATAAATCACTTGTTCCTCTCTTATCTCCCTGCCCATCTCTGAGCTCTATCAGGTGTTACCAGGCTGCTGCCCAGAGAAGCACATTTTCTGTAAATACATAAGAGCCTGGGTGGAAGGCTGTTTTTATTTAATTTAGCCTCAATTCATTGTGTCTTAATTGAAAATAATGATGTTAGAGCAGTGATCAAAGAATTGTCTCATTAATTGTCTATTAAATCATTAGCTATTAAACAGAAATAAAAGGTTAAGAATGCAACACTCTATTCTGCCCAAAAGAATATGAATATGTCTCCAATTACAAGGAAACAATAAAGGCAGAATTAACAGTGAAAAGAAGCTTAAGATAAGGCAATTAGATCCAGAATGGCTGACAAGGCTGATTAGAGGCTTTAGCAGCACACCCTATATGGAAAAGGCACAGAAATTCAGAAGCAAAGTCAATATTGACTTYACCGAAGGGGCTTGTAAAGGGAATATGCATTTTTCTGAAAAAGTATAGGCACATAAACCCTGTATTAAATTTTAACTMAGCTAATTAATTGTTATGGATTCAATCTTGCAACCAATACATATATTTGCAGTTAAAAAATTATGCCTGAGCAGCATTCGCTCTGAGAGCAGCTCTCAGTAATTTGTGACTGAAATCACAAGAGTTTGCTGCAATATTCACAAAAACAGCTTTAGCCCCAGTTTGTATCACCAGGATGAGGTGGTACCAACTCGATGAAGATCACATTCCGACCTCTTGGTTTTGTTCATTWTGTCCAAATATTAGAGAGGGTCCCCAGAGGCATTGCCTACTGTCGGTGCTTTGAGACCCAAATTATTTCACAAAGCAGTCTGATTTATATCAAGCCACTACAAAAAAAAAAAAATTATAGTGCAAATCCTATCTGGTTCAGTCCAGTATTCTCAAACTACAGCAATCCTAGAAAAACAAGAAACTTAATTAATTGAAATAATAATCCCCATACACCGTCGTTAGTATCTGGTTCTGTTTTTCTGAAAAGCAAAAAGAAGACAATCTCAGCAATATGTTGATGATTTAGAACCTGATGCATGAGTTTATGATATGAACAGTTCATTGTTCATATTTATCAATTGATAAATAATACTCACTAATCTGATAATAACTGTATGCTACACTGAAAAAATATAAAGAATAGCAACATTTATCAAGGCAGTCTTTTCCTCTGACAATTAATTAACTTGGTCATAAACAAAGATATTCATCCATGGTCCTCTGGTAAGGGCCTTCAAAGAAATCTGATTTCCAGAAAAAGAAAATGGGATTTTTTTTTTCTTTCTCTATCTGATAAATAAGGGAAAACATGGAACCCATAAATAATACCAAAAATCCCCACCCCATAMAGAATTCTCTGTAGTAAATTTTTAAGTTCATTTAAAACAAGAACAACACCAAACCACACAATAAAACATATTAATCTATTAATGACATTCAAAAGCACCTCTTTTATGCTAAAAATAATAATGAGCTAAAGGCTGAAAGCCATGCCATGGTGTCAGGAGTCAGGCAGGCAGAGTCTTGATAAAGCCACATTAAAGCAATTTTCACCACAATGTCAGGGACACAGAACTACTTGAACATAATATTGAAAAAAAACCCCAAACCAAAACACTAAACCAAGGCACAACATTGTGTAAAAGATCCCAGCTCTCATTTTAAGAACTTTTTCARTGTGGTTATTATTTTCTATTCCTGTAATCTCCTCCAGATGTTGGTACAGCTCAGCATCTTTAATTTCAGAAACTCTGGACTGGTGATCCAGGCAGCAGCAACAGGAAACCCTCCCATCCTCTGTCCCAACATCTGCACTGCTGCTGGGAAATGATGGGCACGGAAAAGGGACACCAGAGCAGAGCCCCTGAGCAAGGAGCTGACCCTCCAAGGGGGACATGGGGCCATGTCCTGTGTCATCAGCAGAGCAATGAATTGGGGCAGCTCTGCCATCCCCACTTTGTCCCATGAGGATCTCTGGATCAGTGATGGGCACCAAAGAGTGGGTGCCACCCTCCACAGCACCCACAACACTGCCAAACAGCTGGCTGATGGAAAATCCCAATATTGGGGTGCTGGAGGAGGAAAACACCCCCATTTTCCACCTGACGTGGTGCTCACCTTCACAACGTCCTCGTCAGCGGATCTGCACTCGGTGGAGTCCGAGACATCGACCACGGAGCCGTCCTCCTGCACGGCCACCACCTTGACTGGCACTGCCACCATCCTGCCCGTCAGGATGGCAGTGTTGAGGATCTCCGTGTCCTGTGGGCACAGCAAACACAGCACGGGGATCAGGGAAGGACAACACCACCACAGTGTCACAGGGATTGTGACACCCAGGGGTGCAGGGATGGGACCTTCCCTTGCACCCATCCTGTGATGTTTGAACAAATTTTTAAGCCACAGTTGCATCAGGACCACCAAGTGCTGGTTTTGACAGCCATGGGTGTGCTCTTGTTGAGCCCATTGATGGTGAGGCTGAGGGTGATGGAATCTGTAAGGCAGTGAGGTACAAAGCACTGCTCACAGCTCAGCAGGAGCTCAGCACTGCTCACCATCACCACGGCATCAGCAGCTCCTCCCATTCCTTTGCCCCAAATCGTGCCAGTGATTTGGGAGGTGATTATCAAACATTACAGCATTTCTTCCATACCCTTCCAGCTCACAGCATTGTGTGTTGACCATTTGTTTCCATAAGGAGAACAACCGTGCATCCATACACAATTTTTTTAAATTTTTCCCCATCAAAATCCCACCTAGAGATGCTCAGCCACATCTTTCTCTAATCCTGATGAATTCACRGTGCTGGCACTCTAATGACTCCATTAACACAGCCTTCCCCTGCRTCTCCCCATGGCTGCAGTTTGATTAATTACTCCAAATGAGCTGCTACAGAGGCCCCTGCCTGGCATGAGCAGGTACAGAGTGGAGGGAAGCGGTTTCTGTGTGAGCAAAACCGCCTGTCAGCCCCAAATCTGACACTCAAATGGGGCAAGGAACGATCTGGGATTTCACAGGGATTCATTCCGACCCTCTGGAAAAGCCTGCAATAGGAAATACTGCTCTGAATCAATCCCCTTTTCATTTTTCAGCTTCCATAAAACTAATTGCTTGCCAGCTGGGGGGTGGGGGCGAAATAAAAAAGTTGCTTCAAACTAATCTAACTTTAAATTCCATTATTAGAATTGGTGGAAGAAGGAATGGATTTTCGTGAAAARTTTGATGGCAGCTTGCATAGGGAGATATATTCACTATCATTTGCTCTGGCTGCTGGCTAGATTGATAGAGAATAATGGGCATTGACCACAAGCTAAGGACAGCTGGAGAAGACCAATAAATACTCGCAACTAAGATGGATTATTAATCAATATTCGGAAACTTCTGCAAAAAGCGGCCTGAATTAAATGAGCTGGAGCACTAATAACAGCAGTGCCAGCTACCTCAGAGAGCCCACGGGATGTTTATGGGCAGCCACGGCCCCGAAAAGCATCGAGAACACACTCGAGCCCATTTCTGATCAGAACAGCTCTAAGAGGATGTGCTCAACTTCACACTTAGACTTCAATGATTTAAGAGTCATCCTGGGCTGAGATGCTTTTCAGAATAACACCTCAGAAAATAAGTGTGGGCTTTGTTCTGTTCTCTGCCRGGCACAAACCAGATGTTTTACACAGTAAATGACTGTCTGGTTTTTGTTTCTGCTGAATGGGCTCATTTATTACCAGCTGCCAGCCATGAGAGAGGGACACTGGGAAAGGGAGAAGTATGTGACAGAAGTGGAAGTGTGAAAAAAAAACAACTGAAAATCCTTTACAAAGACTGAGATGTGAACAAGGCTGAGAGGAAAATGCACTGCCAGGTGAAAGAAAGCACTTAGAGGCACCTCAGGTGGGAAAAGGTTGTACAAGCCAGACAAAGGGAAACTGCAGGTAATTCATCCACAAGTCAGAGGAGAGGCAGTTAGATTTCAGCACGGCAAATATCCCATATCCCGAGCCATTAAATATCAGATTTTTGATGAAGACCTGGTGGCCCTTCAAAGGCTCCCAAGGAGCAGCTCTCCAGCATTCTCCTACAACAGACAGTCATGTTCAGTGCATCTGGGCAAAATCCCTTCTGGCCAAGGTCACAAACACGGAGAACACACAAATCCCTCTGCCAAATTCTGTTTGCTCAGCTGTGAGCTCCTCCAGGTCGGGCAGGCAGTGCCTGTGTGCAGCCACAGCTGAGATCAGAGGATTCTCTGGACATCAGTGCACTGGACCAGGCTCTCTCCAGCYTGCAGGAATTTCTATTCTGKTTTTTGTGCTGTTTGYTYGCTCACCYGGGTGTTGGCCATCMCGGGTGACAAAGCAAAAACAAACCTGCAGCTTCCTCTGAACTCTGAGCGCTGTTTGGCTACCAAAGCTGCAGTCAGCTTTTGATGTGCTGAAGGATAATCCAAAGTTTATCAAGGCATTTGTATTCCTTTCMTAACTCCTGCTGAAGATGAGTGTGACACAAACACCAGAACTGCCCTAAACTTCCTCTCCTGCCCAGCACATCCAGGTACCCACCGTGCTAATTAGAAACCTCACAAACCCTGCACTTCCCTGGTAAGCAATTCCACCAGAGAAATCAATATTTCAGGTGCCTGATGCCTGCAGTGAGTGTTACACAAGCATAATAGGCTGGGTAAAAGGCTTTTTAAGAGCTGGCTATTTATAGACTGAAGAAATATATTTCCTCTGAGGAAGAAATATGAACTAATTGACTGTCCAGTAGATTTATAAACAGACTTTTTAGTGCTTCTTCAACAACTTCAGCAACTTCTAAGTTGCTGTTAAACTTGCAACAAAACTTGTTAAACAAAATCTAAGTTCTGTTAAACTTGGTTTCTGTTTCCATGGTAGGGTTTCTGCAGACAAAGAGCTGCTAARCTTTAAATTCCTGTGCTGGTGATTGCAAAAAGCTTCTGAAATCTAGAGAGGGGTAACTGTGGTGATTTCCATGGGTAGGGCTCCCACGTGGCACAGAATGAGTGAAACACCTGCAAMAACCCCCAGGGAGCACCAGCACAAAACTCCAACTGTGGGCACTGCCAGGTCCCACGGAAAAACTGGGAATCCTTTCCCGTTTCTTTTTTGAGGGTTTCAGCTGTCACATCTTGGCCAAAACCTTCAGCTCAGCTGGGTGGAAGCTACACATTCATATCATAGTTCCATCCCTAAATAATAGTAGTAGTAGTAATAAATAATAATAATAATAATAATAGTAATAATAATAATAATAATAAATGTGTGTGTTTCTCTCCAGCTCTGTCTGTATCTGGATGCATTAACACTTCAGCAGAGCTCTGCTTAATTACAACTGTAACCTGCTAATAGCGTTCCTTTGTTGTCTGAAGGAATCTACTTCTTATGCAGCCCAGGCTAAATTAAAATTTAATACAACATCAGGTCGCAACAGAACTAGGAAGCAAATGACAGCTGTTTAATTAAAACCTAAAGCTGATTAGATGGCACTACTGAGAGAAATACTCAAGAGGAAGAGCTGAAAACTACTGGAACTCAAGGCCAGGATAATGGCTTTATTGAAATGTGAATTAACGCTGCRCACAGCCGTAGCAAATGTTTGACAACTGCTGATTTTGGACAAATGGGAAGGAAAAGGGAAAGGGGGAAGTGTCAGGAGCTGGGGCAGAGCTCTGAACAGAACAGGCTGCCATTCCTGTGGATGTGGCCAGAAACTGGGATTACTGAGGAACAACTCCAATGGGCAGGAACTCCAGACACAAAGTTCCAATAATGATGTTTCAAACCACACCACAGTCACCTAAATGCTCCTCAGGCAGGTGACTCCATGGCAGCTCACCCAGCTCCATCACACATGCAGCTTTTTCACCCTCTTTTGGTTGAAAAACAAAGACATGGAGAAATAGATGGTGTATCTCAGCGTTCAGGAGCCCATCTC